CCTGCCCTCCGGCGTGTCCACTTCTCCCCATAGCTTTGTGTCATCTGCAAACTTGGACAGAGTACATTTCACTCCCTCGTCCAAGTCGCTGATGAAGACATTAAAGAGTATCGGTCCAAGGACCGAGCCCTGTGGGACCCCACTGCCCACACCCTTCCAGGTCGAAACCGACCCATCCACCACGACTCGCTGGGTGCGACCCTCTAGCCAATTCGCCACCCACCAGACTGTGTAGTCATCCAAGTCACAGCCTCTTAACTTGTTCATCAGTATGGGGTGGGATACCGTATCGAAGGCCTTCCTGAAGTCTAAGTATACGACATCCACCCCTACTCCTGTGTCCATGCGTTTCGTAACCTGGTCATAAAAAGAGACTAGATTAGTCAGGCATGATCTGCCTGCTACGAACCCGTGCTGGTTTCCCCTCAGCATAATTTGTCCTGCCAGGCTCTCGCAAATGTGAGCCTTGATAATTTTTTCAAAGACATTGCCAAGGATGGAGGTGAGACTGACTGGCCTATAGTTGCCCGGGTCCTCCTTCCTCCCCTTCTTGAAAATGGGGGCCACATTGGCCCTTTTCCAGTCCTCCAGGACTTGGCTCTGGACTCTGGACAAGATTAGGCTTGGACTTAACTCTGGATTAACTCTGGACAAGATCATCCCTGACTAAACTATCCTACACAACCTGTGTCTAACAAAAGGATGCTCAACCCCTGACCTGTGGACCAGATCCAGCCCCCGGTGTGTGTAATCTATCCTGTGGGGAGACTCACTGACTGTGATCCTGTGTGCTAGATTCAGCCTAATCCCAGCACATGGAAGTCAGGTGGGGGCAGCACAGAGCCCCTGAGCCCAATCCTGATCAAGTCAGGTGGTGCTGGGCCTCCAAAGCCCTATCCCAGATGGGTGGAGGCAGCACATCATACACAAAAATATTAACTGCTCTGTGGCAAAGCAGTTAATTTTAAAATATACAGTATATATAAAAAGCATCATCAATCTAACACAACAACCAAATGCTGAAACATTGAGTTACAGCTCCATAACCCTCACCTGGCAGTGAAAAGGGAAGAAAATTTCCTTTCCTGATTTCAGGACCAATGAATCATTTATTGTGGAGTGCTCTGGATGTAAATTCTGCAGCACAGTTCCACAATTTCTGCAGTTTATTAGTTATGAATGATGCACCAAACTGTTAATTACACAATAGGAAATGTATGGAAATATATTCAGCACTAATATTTATATATATAATCTTTTTATATTCATTTTTAATATTTAATTGAAGGAAAACCTCCATTTTTAAAGTGTTTCTGTGTTTATGCTCTTGGAAAATTTCCACTTGCTACAGAAGCGAACATGATTGCACCATGACATCAGAAAACCTTGCAAAAAATTAAGGCTCAGTGGGTGCATCTACACGAGATGCTACTGCACAGTTGTTACTGTGCATTTATTTAGTACTTTATTAGCAAGTACTAAATAAACACGCAGTAACAAAAGTTACTGTGCAGTAGCACCAGCGAATGTCTTTTAGGTGATACTACTGCACAGTAGCCTAATAATACTGCGCAGTAGCATATTAGCACCGTCCATGCTGTGATGCACTACTGAGCAGTATTTTTCGGTTACTGAGCAGTCAGCATCTCGTGTAGGCACTCCCAGTGACCTTGAAACATGGGACCCTGTTTAGCAGAATGAACTAAGGACTTATGAGCTTGTAGTGTGCATTGCAATTGAAAAAGCAGACAATAAGTTCTTGTGGATTAGAAATGTCAAACTGCTGTTGGAAAAATAATATACAATTTGCATATCAGGGGCCAACCTACCTGCTTTGAATAATGTAAACAATTTGTTAGATGAACCTTCAATTCTTAATATTTTTGACAGAAAAAATGAAACAAAACTATTTGCACAGATTTAAAAAAATTAAACCATTTTGCATCCTGGGATAAAAGAAGCAACCCCAAGAAACAGTTTAACTATTAATGACATTTTTTTTCTCCCTTGTAAACATTTCAGTCATTGTGGGGTCACGAGATTCACAATTATTGAGATCACAAAGCTGTTACTTTCAAACTGGTTCCACATTCACCCATTTCTGTGAAGCTGGGAAGAGGAACTAGGATTCTATATGGAAATGAAAAACTGCCTGGTACTACAGAGAATCCACTGATTACTGGAGCCAGTCATACATATACCTACTGCATTATTTGTCTGTTATCACCAGCCGCTGATCCTATTAAATTACTGAAAAAAGCTGTTGTTGAGAAAAAATATTTTAACAGAATCAATATATCTGTCCATGTTTTATAGAAAAATAAGCCTTTCAGAAGAGAAATAATAATAAATATGCAGGAAACAGACAACAATGTAGAAATCATTTTTATAGTATGGATGAAACATTTATGGTGTAATGGTGAAGATGAGTTGTTTGGATCTGTATGTAATAGGTGTTATGTCACACTGCTTTAGCAGTCATTGCAAGCTGAAGCTGCTTAGCAAACCTCAGATAACATACTTGTGACCACTACAGAAACCACGATGAACATAGATTGTGATTCTGAACCTTCATCTCTTTCTCACTGGACAGAAACTGGAAATATGGACACAGTATAGAACAGTGAAGACACTACTCTTCTGAGCAATGTTACCATTAACAGTAAATCCACTCCCTAGGTTTACTGTCCCATGTTTTCACATTTCAAATTCCTTTAAAGAACCTAAACCTATCCTCACCCACTCCAGCATATCTCAAACAAATCCCAAATGATTTTGCCTTTATCCAGATCCAGGATGGAACATCCATTAGGTCTTTCTAACTCTTCTGTGCTCTGAAAATCTAACAAATATTTCTGACAAACTTTCACCTCCTCTGGTGGACTCACTTATCTTTCTCACAAAATGGCTACTCCTAAAACAGATTTCTCCCAAAATGCTTTTCTCCAGTGGCTGTTTGTCAGAACATTCTGTTATTGTGCTATGTCAAGCAGCTAAGAAACTTACAACTTTGAAAATGACTGATACAGTGCAGTAGTTTTTATGAAGATGAAGACTTATTCACCTGCTGGAGTTGTGCTTTTGAGATGCGAATGACAGGGGGAAACTTGTTGCCACTGGGAATGACAGGAAGTTGCCTACGGCCAGCTGAGCAGGAAGAGGAAGACTGACCCTCTGCTGTTTGACTCCTGGGTAACCCAGTCTCTTTCTTAGAGTCCAAGTGGGTAGACAGAAGTGCTATAGGGCTCAGGGTGCGGAAGATGGGACTTGAAATTCTTGGAGTAGAGAAATGCAGCATATGAGATGAGTTGAGCTGTGAGAACAACATGGTGGGGAAAAAAGTGAGTTTTTCAAATATATATATTTTTAACAATTTCTTTTTGAACTACTGCCTATGCAGTTTTATAACCAATGTCTTATAGAAACAGGCTTACAACTCTCTTAAGCTAAAAGTTAATAGGGTATCTAAGTGGTATCTAAAATCTGATTCCCCCATATTTTCCATCCATTAAAAAAAGCAATAGCATAAGATGAAATGAGCACTCTTACTCTTCTTGGCCATTCATTTCCCTAACTTCACTTATCCATCCAGCGAGAATCCCTGACGGTATGTCTATACAGTAAGCAAAGAAATTGTTGAAATGGTATTAATTATGTGAAATGGTTGATTGTCCCACTTACCCTTGTAAATGTTTTGCATATCTACACAGCAACACTGGGGGCTTTTTGTTTGCTTCTTTTTTAAGAGGAAAAACACAGGCAACATCCTATACAGATTTACACATCTACACACACAATATCTTTTATATCTATAGTTACATCAACATGCCATAGGAAGGCTCAAACACTTAGTTCATAGGCCCACATACTGAACCTAAGACAGACTCATGGGAAATGTCTAAATTATGGGAGCAGGAAAACAAACTGAGCTGGTAAAGCTAGGAGGAATGCTGCCTTCCTATACTTTCTGGATAGAACCTAAAGACTTCATTCCAAATGCTGCAACAGGAAGGAAACATTTCCAAATCACCCAGCTACTGCCAAATGAAAACAAATATTAGAAAGTCTTAGGGAGGCTACTAAGTGTGGATTAATTTAATGTACAGGAATGGTACAGTCAAAGAGAGGTGCACTGATATATTGGTCCATATCGGATCGGCACCAATAAAAGGAAAATTGACATTATTGGCAATGGCTCTTTTTGGCTGGCGTAGCCGGTAATGTCACTGATAACATCACCCCAACATTTGCCATAGCCACCCCACAGCCCCCCTCCCAGTGCCAGTGCCACCGCCACCCCACCCTGCCCTACCCCGAACACAGCCCTGGTCCAGCCCCCTCACTGGGAAGAGGCCAACGCAGCCCCTGGCCCCGGGCCCACAGCAAGCAGCCCACCCCCATCCCACACACAGATCCAGGGGGAATATGCCCCCCCATGCTTCCCCCAGGGGTGCGAGCAGTGGCAAGAGTCACCCCCCGCACTCCCTCCCTGTCCCACCTGGGACAAGCCGCCCATGGCGCCATTCCACACCCTGGCCTGACCTGGGCAGTGCCTGCCCCGCCTCAGCCCTATTCCCTCCCTCACCGTGGGGGCCTCGATCTGCCTCCCCACGCCCCTTTCCCCACCACAGAATTATTGGCCCGATCCTGCTCTCCATACTACTGGGCTGTATATAGGCAAATCAGATCAATATCGGTCAATATGGCTGATTAATAATCAGACATCGGTGATGGCCAAAGAAATCTTTATCAGTGCACCCTTGCAGTCAAAGCCTTCCAAGCTAACAGTTTTAGGGAACAGAGTTTTTCACTTGAGTCAGGGCTGCCCAATTTCTATATGGCTGAAGACTATGTGCCTCACAGAATGCGAGTCCCCAGGCCCCATGATGTGCACCCCTTCTCCCCCCTCCACTGCACAGGCTGTCCTGGTGCATAAGACTATAAAGTCCCTTCACTGTGTAGGCTCCCCAGGCTCCTGTCACCTTGGCCTCAGGGCTTGGGATAGAAATCAAACCTCAGAGGAGGAAGGGGCAGGGGGACCCAGAGACCCCAGCAGCAGAAGGAGCAGTAGTTAGGCAGGAGCCTACAACCCATGGGGTAACCCTTCGCTGGCCACACATTGGACAACCCTGACTTGGATTAATCAGACCTTCACTCAAATCTACAGATGCTAGGTATACATTTCTAAATCCAAATAAATCTTTTCAAGCCCTACACAATAATGAGAAAATACTGTTGAATATATATGGCAAAATATTATTAGAACAGACTACTATTCACCGCCTTTTTTTTTTTTTTGTTCTAAGTGTTTTTAGATAAAATTAGAAAACAGACCAATATGGAAAAATTACTCTAAAGCTTCCTTTAAATGATTTCTTCTGACGCCTCTGTTCCTTTAATTAGCAATGGTATTTGAAACTCCCTTTTGTACTTCTCTGATGATTGGATTCTAAGAGTACTGAGGATGTGTTGAACAGTTTCCAAGAAGAAGTTATCACAATCCTATGGCTTACCATAACTGTAAAGCACAGCTGTCATTCACTTAAAAAACAAAAATATTGCAACCAATATCTCATAAAAGCAATATGTGCAGAGAAAAAGTGTATCAGCATTAAGAGGAATTCTAAAATAGAGTTTCAGACCTCTGTTTTCTGTGCATCCCTTCTACATTTAAACAAAATGATGCTGATTTCAGTGATATAACAGTAACAAAAAAACCCAGAAGTATGCAGTAAAATCTTTTTTATAATTGGGGATATGTATGTTGAAAATGGATTGTTATCCAAGTGTGACTGGAAAAATAATCAGGTTGAATTTGAACTGAAAAATTAACATGATCCTGTAGCTAATAATGTCTGGCCTCTTCTAACCCTAAGGAAAAAGCAGCATTAGTGAGCTATTTGCATGACAAATACCTCATTGAAGACAGCCTTGTTCACATTCTGATGAAATCTCACAGCAATTGCAGAAAAGTAGAAGAAATAACCAAGAAAAGAAACACTGGTTCCCTGACTTGCAATTTGTATTCCTCATAACAGAAGTTGTCATTTGCTCTAGACATTGCCATGGTCTAAACCTGTTCATTCCATCCTAAATAATTGGCTTAGACTATCTCTTAAATTTGGATACCATATAACAAATTGCTATGTTCTGCATTGCAACCCAGAGAGATGATTTTCAATACTGATGCTACACAAACTGGGTAGAAAAAGCTAATTTCACGGCAAAGTTTGAGGAATTAAAAAAAATATACCTACACATTATTTAATCATAGAATCATAGAAAATTAGGGTTGGAAGGGACCTCAGGAAGTCATGTAGTCCAACCCCCTGCTCAAAGCAGGACCGGTCTCAACTATATCATCCCAGCCAAGGCTTTGTCTACCCAGGTTTTAAAAGCCTCCAAGGATGGAGATTCCACAACCTCTCTGTTGACCTGTTCCAGTGCTTGACTACCCACCTAATGAGAATATTTTTCCTAACATCTAACTTAAATTTCCCTTGCTGCAACTTGAGATCATTGATCCTTGTTCTGTCACCTTCCACCACTGAAAACTGTCTAGCTCTTTTGTAACCATCCTTCAGGTAGCTGCAGTCTGTTATCAAATCCCCTCCGTCTTCTCTTCTCCAAACTAAATAAGCCCAGTTCCCTCAGCCCCTCCTCACAAACCATGTGCCCCAGCCTCCAAACCATTTGTATTTCCCCCCACTCTCTCCACAGTGCAGACTCTCTCAAATTTGTCCACATCCTTTCTGTAATGGGGGGGTCTAAAACTGGACACAGTACTCCAGATGTGGCCTCAACAGTGCTGAATAGAAAGGAAGAATCATTTCCTTTGATCTGCTGACACTGATCCTACTAATGCAGCTCAGTATGCCGTTAGCCTTCTTCACAACAAGAGCACACTGTCGGCTCATATTCAGCTTATTGCCCACTGTAACCCCAAGGTCCCTTTCTTCAAAACTGCTGCTTAGCCAGTCAGTCCCCAACCTGTACCAGCACGTGGAACTGTTCTGTCCCAAGTACAGGACTTTTCACTTCTCCTTATTGAACCTCAAGAGATTTCTTTTGGTCAAATTCTCCAATTTGCATAAGTCTCTCTGAATCCTAGCCCTACCCTTCAGCATATTTACTACTGCCCTTCAGCTCGGTGTCATCTGCAAACTTGCTGAGGGTGCACTCCATCCCATCTTCCAGATCATTGATCAAGATATTGAACAAAGCCAGCTCCAAGACCAATCCCTGGGGCACTCCACTTGATACTGACTGCCAAGTAGACATCGAGCCATTGATTACTATACTTTGAGCCCAATGACCCAGCCAGTTTTCTATCCATCTTACAGTCCATTCATCCAACACATACTTCATTAGCTTGCTTGCAGGAAAGTTGTGGAAGATCATATCAAAAGCCTTGCTGAAGTCAAAGTATATCATGTCCACTGCTCTCCCCACATTCACAGAGCCAGTCATCAAATGGATTGCCTTCTCATAGAAGGCAATCAAGTTGGTCAGGTATGACTTGCCCTTGGTGAATCCATGCTGACTGTTCATAAAACACCTTCTCCTCCAAGTGCTTAGAATGGATTACTTGAGGACCTGCTCCATGATTTTTCAAAGGACTGAGGTGAAGCTGATAAGTCTGTAGCTCCCCAGATCCTCCTCTTCCCTTTCTTAAAGATGGGAACTATATTTTCCCTTTTCCAATCATCCAGAACCTCTCCCAATCGCCAAAAGTCTTCAAAGATAATGGCCAGCAGTTCTGCAGTCACATTGGCCAACTCACTCAGCAACCTCAGGTGCATTGTGTCCAGATCCATAGACTTGTACACATCTAAGTTTTCTAAACACTCCCTAACCTGTTCTTTTGCCACTGCTGGCTGCTCCTCCCCAAACTGTACTGCCAAGTGCAGTAGTCTGGGAGCTGACCTTGTCTCTGATGACTGAGGTGAAAAAGGCATTGAGTACTTCAGCCTGTTCAGCATCATCTATCACTAGGCCACCTCGCCCATTTAGTAAGGAACCCATGCTCTCCCTTGTCTTCCTTTTGTTGCTGCCATACAGGTAGAAACCCTTCTTGTCACCCTTCACATCCCTTATTAGCTGCAATTCCACTTGCATTTTGGTCTTCCTGATTTCATCCCTGCATGCCTGAGCAATACTCTTATACACGTTTGTCCAAATTTCATTTGTCCAAATTCCACCCCTTGCAAGCCTCCTTTTTGTGTTTTAGCTCACTGAAGAGTTACCTGCTAAGCAAAGCTGGTCTTCAGGCATACTTGCTAGTCTTCCTGCACTTCAGGATGGTTCACTTCT